AATCGTCCGTGGCCGAGGACAGACCACGTTCTAATTCCGTCGACGCAGCCAGTGCTACACAAGGTAGTCACGATGATCAGACTAGAAATCCGAGCCGATCAGTGATGACAGCTGCTGAGTTTTTACAGGTGTGTCAGTTGAGTTTTCCAGTGTGAAGTTCATCTTATTCAACGCTCGTCAAAGATCGAGCATAGGTCAACAACCCTTTTGCATCGTTGCAGCACCTTTGCTAGTAACGCGCGCAGAAATTTTCGAATGAAGGGCCAGTTGTCAAGTCTATATAAGGGCATGCTCCGCTTTCACTCGATGTTCAGACACCTTAGGCTATCGCAAGCGGCCATCGCATCCTGATTTATGTAGGATTTCGCAGCTCAAAAATACGTGATAAATAAGCGACCCGCTCGCGATGAGGTCACGGCTCCGCCCACTGGGCGCGGCAACGCCCACTTTTCACTTTTGAAGTCTGCTCATGGTGGATTGTTCCACTGCTAACTCTCTTAGTGATGAGATTGAGATGTTTAAGAGGAAGAGCTGACACTAACAATTGAGAACCTGCGGGGTTCTATATGCGGCATTTCCGGCGGACTTTTTCTTGCTTTTTTTTCTTCACTGTGTTATTACCACCCTTTCATAAGTATTTCAGCCCACTTCAGCATTTTCAAACAAGGAACGTGCCTTGAGTGCTTTTCAAAGCACAGAACCTCCTTGCTTCGATTTCTTTTAGTCAACCGTTGTAAAGGTCGTTGTTATCACTCACCCGCCTCGCAGTTCCTGAAAATGTAGTTCGTGCTTTAAGAAGTCCAGGCCACTGTGTGCCAGATCTTTGGGATCGGTTTGCTGCTATCAAGATTCTTGCCAGCTTCTGGAACTGCAGAATAGGACAGATTTCTTCTGATTCGCAGACAAGCTTGCGCTCAAGAAAATTGGAAAAGCCCACGAAACATAGCGCAACACCGATTTATGCTGATTCATACTTTGCGTTTCGAGCGAATATTTCGTGCATGCGATCATCTATGCTTTTCTTTCTCGTCAAAACGCTGATTCCCTGGAAAGGCTGCTCTTCCCAAGTACCGAGTCGCAAGGTATGAATGCGGTCTTAGTGATATTCACGCTTCAGAAGAATGAGCAGATGCGCGGAACCGATTTAATATTTACTTTTCGCTCCATTAGCGGGCGGTTCTCCACTTGCTTTCTCATTTACATCTTTGTTGGATTCAATCCTATGCAAAATAGCGCAAAAATACCACTATTTAGTCGGTTTTCCTTTTATTGTTTAATTTGGGCCATCAAATTAATATCACGATGCCTCTTCGCGTGCGCTGCCCTATTCGCCTTTAAGGATGTAAACGCTGACTTGTACATCGGTTGGCCCCATGACTCTCTGTTTAGGCCAATCGTATTCGATGAATACTATTCTAGATGGGAACAGAAACGCATCCCAGAAAAGGATTGGTCGAGGGCAAACACTTCAGCGTTCATCCTTTACCATTTTGGCTGACGCGCACTTCTGCGCGCATGGTTCAGTCAGGCTGTGACGTTGGTCACTCACCTGTATCACCTGTGCTCCCGTTGATCATCGAGTTCCTCGAGCGGGCGCCAGTAACGTCTCCATTCGTCCCTGCAACGTGCAAGAGTTGCCCAGTGACGTTGGTGCCACCACTTTTAAGGCCTTTTGTCAGCTGTCAGCACTTCCTGCCACCCACCAATGATGTTCACGTCTAGTCCACCATATCATTTCTTGAAACCGGCGTTCCACCATTGCTGTGACGCGAGTTATGAGTTTGGTGACCCTCCCCTTTTAAGCACCACCCACCAATGATGTTCACGTCCAGTCCTATATCTCTTTCCCTATATCTCTTCTTGGAAGCAACGTCCAACCGTTTGTGTGACGCGAGTTATGAATTTGGCGACCCTCCTCTTTTAATCCCCTAAGTCCTTATCAGCTGATACCACCTGCCATCCACCCGGCAGTGTTCCTGCTTGATCTCCTAATCCATTATCATTTGAACTCTCTACGAGCTGAATTTGAAGGAAGTTATCGATTTCTAGTCAAGACAACACACGGCACACAGCACACAGTATAACATTTTGGTATGATGGGTATGATGGGTCTCGTGGAACTTTGTTGGCAGACCGCTGTTGAACGTTTATTCAATCAGTGATAGCAGCGCGGTCGCGTCAGTTAAACATATCTAGGTGACATATGAATGACAAGCTAGTTTTCATTGCAATATAAATGACTTAAATGTAACATCGACTGAGTCTGCAACCGCTATATGTTCGGATCGAGCCCAGTTCCAAATGCTCAAGGTTCGATTCTTGTGTAGCAGGTGTGTAGCTTGTAATAATGCGTTTACTATCTTCTGACGACCCGTAATCTAGAAAGACGGTACTCCTGGAAAAAAAGCGCGACCTTGGCTAGCTAGCTAGCTCTCAGGATGGAATAATGCGAAGTATTCTAGAAAAGTCCTGGGGACTGTTTCTATAGATTTCTCGTAAACTTGCCACTAATCCTAGTTAGTGTTGTTTTCCTTTACACGGCTTCTCTAAGAGTGCGTACTTTTGTTTACCGCTACTTCATTGCAGCTTAGTTCCATTTCCGAGTGACAGATCCCGATGTATGTCCTTTTATTGCACGCTGAGGCTTGAAATAACCACGTCAGATGACTTTCGTCTGCGTTTGCTCGCATGGTGCCTCATGTATTAGAGAGTGCTGGGCAGCGAAATGAGAAAAAAAGTAGTGAAACCAGGAATACAACCAACCCCGCTACAAGTCTATCACGATGTCGATATTGTGGTAAACAGTCCTGCTATATAAGAATCTCATTGCGTGTCTTGAACATCGTTCTCTTATTTCTTCAAGCTTTCCATGATTGAACAACTTTATTAGAGGCCTACTCGGCGTCTTCGCCTTCGTCAGAGCCTGAAATGGTCAAAAAACATTTCGAGACCTGCTCGCTCAAACATTTCAACAGTACTCAAGACAATTTCCACAAACTAGTAAATCACTCAACGGTATCGATCCAGGGCGTAACGCTGGCTTACCTTGATCTCGACCGCGCGACACGACGATGACCACCCTGTAGAGGCTCGAACGTGGAGTGAGAATTACTAGTAACCTCCCCGACCTCCCCGGTAGGTCAAAACTTGCCGAGGTCGAGAACGAAAGAAAAAAAAGAAATGAAAGAAAGACAAATGAATCGGAAGAGTGTGTGGCCGTAACACGTGAAGTCACGGCCTTTCTCGACCTCGGTAAGTTTTGACCTACCGGGAGGTCGAGGGAGGTGACTAGTACTCTTAGTTGTCACTCCACGTTCGAGCCTACAGGGTGGTCATCGTCGCGTCACGCGGTCGAGATCAAGGTAAGCCAGCGTTACGCCCTGGATCGATACCGTTGAGTGATTTACTGGTATGTGGAAATCGTCTTGAGTATTGTTGAAATGTTTGAGCGAGCAGGTCTCGAAATGTTTTTTGACCATTTCAGGCTGACGAAGGCGAAGACGCCGAAACGTAGGCCTTCAATAAAGTTGCTCAATCTTGGAAAGGCTAGAAGAAATAAGAGAACGATATACATCATGCCAAGATTGCAAGAAAGTCGAACATGGAGTTTCTGAACGCTTGAAGCAATTCTGCGAGGTGCTAGCACCGCATAGACGTGAGGCGCTTGGCCAGGGACAGTTAGCGAAAATATAGCATATGTAGAAGAAAATATCTCGCCGACTGTCGGGTCTTCTTTTCTAGCGTTTTTTCTCGCGTTTTATTTTCCCCGAGAGGATCCGTTTCAAGCTTCCCTTTTTCTTCTTATTATCAGGGTATTTATTCACCTCGGCAACCCCGTCACTGTCCTCCTTCTGATGCTGTGCGTCCCCGGTAATCCTCGGTCACCAGCTGCCAGTGTGTCATCACAATCGCAATATTACGACAGATTGATATCGCAAGATTGCTTGGTTTACAGGTTCTGCCTGTAAACCAGGCAATCTTGCGATAGCTGCCGTTTTCTTCTATCGCTTTATCATTCTCTGAGGCCTTCTGCAGATTGACAGGCCGTCATCCCGACAGGCATAAACCAACACACCCAGCAAGCGGTTTATGTTAAGACTTGAAGTAAATGGCCGTTTCTCGTATAAATTACCAAATGCGATGGTTGATATTGTTAGCTTCCTTCTTACTGAATTACTGAATGACCTTTAAGGACTGCAATAAATGATTCGTCCGACGATGAGTAAAGGCGGAACGAACCGTTTCTTGTCCTTTTTTTATTCTTCCAGATCACTTCGTTGGTTCTTTTTTTTCTCATATTATCTGTTTGTCCCTACCGCAAGCTGCTTCGTCTTTGATATGGTCGCAGTGAAGTAGGAGAATATTAGAAACAAGTGCCTAAACCATCAGTCTGCTGCAATATTAGACTCTTGATTCAGCCTGTCACTTTCTCACAAACGCGCCATGATCATGACAAGGCTATCGATAGGAAGAAGTCAGTCGCAGGTCGCCTTCGTACTTGTCCCGAGTTTGAGTATCGGAGAATGTGTGAAAGCGATTATATACAAAATGCATGATTCGTTATCGATAATTTCGGTGAGACAGATTTGATGCAGGATACATCAACTGGATGAGAAGTAGCGGTTCAGCTCAACCACGCTAAACCTCTCCCTAAGGTACGACCCTCTCGCAACCTACCTACCGTTCTACCCACATCTCCCAAAATTTTACTGTTGAGAGCGAAGGGGGTGGGGGTGGCTGATCTCCGGTCAACTAGTAGAAATACTCTTTCACTGCTATACAAAGGGGAGGGGTGTGTGCGGAAGTATCAACTATTGGAAAATTTTCTCTAAAACCGAAATATGACCCTCTTCTTCGAAACGACTCCCCTCGTGGGACTTGCACAACTGTCCCCCTTTTTCGACTAGGTGCAGCCTATAGTAAATCGAATTTGGATTTTTACGGGAATTTTTCAGTTCTCCTTCAACGCTTCTTCTAAACGCTGCCTAGCTTAGTCGGGAATGAAACAGCAGGTGAACCCATTTTGTGCTAATGATCTCGTGATGCAGCCTCCTGCATCTATGTTATACCCCCATCAGTCACTCCTTTGTTACCGAGTGTGACATGTGCTCTCGTACTTTGCTTAGCGCAGGAGCAATAAATGCCCCCGATCGCCCAAAATAACGATCTGTGTAATAAGAGCCCCGCATGATAAAGGGTGATATAGAGCGATGAAAGCTGCTCAACGAAGCGAAAACATGGACAGACAGGAAAGGGAATCAGACTAATTGATCGACACTCTGTAAACAATACGTTTCATTCGGACGTATTCTCTTTATAGAGTTGACTGAGTTAAGCCCCACTTGCTGTACCAGTTTAACGCTGAAATGGGAACAGCTCCAGTATCCTTTTGGTTTACGTTTGTCAAAACTCCCCTATAGAAAAGAGGAAGTTCTCCTCTAGCTCTTGTGAGTTTTCATGGGCGAGTTTTCTATTGCCTAGTGACAATTTAGGAACCGAGAAAAACGCATTTGCCAAAGAAAAAATCTGCTCAGAAAATTGGAAAAGGAAAGAAAAAAGGGTCTCAGGTTGAATTCGCTTTGTTTCGGATTTTTTGGTCCTTCGAACACTTCCTTCCGATTCGGAGACGCCATATTTTTCGTTCTGCTGGCTTCAGAATCTCTGTTCTGCTAACTTGACAGAATTTTCAAAAAATTCTTTCCCTTACCTTCTGATGAGTGGAACCGTTTGTTGCAACGTTACAATGTTCTTGCTAGACCGGTATGCGAGGATAAAAACAATTACTTATACATTGTGTGGCTGCAGAAAGTCATTGTGCTGGTAAAATTTCTTTCAAAGGTCGTTATTTTCCGAGCGGAAGTGGATTGCGTGGCGCATCCCAAAAAGGACGAATCCACGCAAAAGACTTTCGAATTTCCTAATTCGAATCCTTAATTTCATTTTTTATTGTAACATGAATTTCATTTTCTTTTGTAGACGATTCGTAATGCACGTATTGTTGGTTCTTCGTCGGATTCAAATGGATCTGAGGATGATGCGGGTCCTTCTACTTTACATCAGCATCCTATGAGGTGACATTTAATTCTTCTTTTGTAGAATGTTTCGTGCGTTTGCTGCTATTTCTTTGCAATTTCTTGATCAGCTATTTCCATGGAATTTTTTTGATGCTCGACCTACTTCTTTCCCTAGGTTGCGTTCTCACGGTGGTCTAAGTCTCAACTATGCACGGACAGGACGGTTGCGAGGTAACTTAAGCAGACGCTCGATGCCTGTTTTTATGATGGGTAGGGTCATTCAGTTTAATGATTAATAAAACATGGACCATTCCTTTACTTGAACAGATGAGCATGTGGGTGTCGACCTCTTTTCAAGTGATGGGTAACACTGTCATAATGATTAGATGAGATTTATTCAGGTGCTGAGGACATGACTTGCCCTATTTGTCACAAAACTGTTCCCTCAGATGAGGCTGATGTGCATCTTGTAATGTGCCTTACTAGACCGAAAATTACTTATAACGGTAAGTTTTTATGATCTGCCCTTTCTCGTTCCTTACAATAAAAAATGATCAGTGAAAACACGTGGTCAGTGGCGCTATTTTCTCTGGGTTGAGTATCTTTTAAAATGTTCGACGATACCAACGAACCAATGCGCAAACAAATGACACCAGTTTCATTGTGAGTGGGCAAGTAGTGCAGAGCTGTGGAATGGTTGTAATCAGGACATCTGCTAGACTAGAACAGTCCTCGATCAGTTAGAAAAGGGAGGCAGTCGGGTGACGCAGCCGCCAGCAGTCATACTGCTACTGGGGCGCGTTGACCATAGTTGTCACCTCCATCTCCCTTCTGCAGCTCATCTTCTGAGCCGGACAACTCGTCCAGATCGACTGACAATTGATCGACCTTTATCTCCTTGTCGATTGGAGAGAGGGGGCGAAAGAAGTGGGAAATTATTTCAGGAGCGGACGCAGATACCAAATTCATTCCTGAACCCGCAATTCGGCGTCCATGCTCTCATCCTAAGAAAGTCTTTAGGACCACGCGACCTCGCGTGTGCGGAAACCAGCGAACTGCGGGCGTGCGATGAAGCGCAAACTCATTCCGCAATTGAATTAGACTGTCTTAATATTTCACCCACGCCCCCTCCCCCCACTCTGATAGAACCTGGATTGTCATGACCGTCAGGTTTTGTTTCATTTGCATAACTAGAATGATGACTTAGTAATTATGGTGCAGGGATATCTGCACCAGTTTTGCTAGCGGGATAATTTAGCTTACCTGTTGATCCGCAATTATTTGACAGGCAGAGTACTTTTTGGATGCATACTCTCAGACACTGCACTCATTGTCATGTGTTGAAGTACGAGGGACTGTCCTTTTGAGAAAAAAACATAGCCAGCGAAGTTTCACTGTCGCACAACAACACATTCAGCAGCGCCGTATCGCAATCCGGTCATGACAATGCGGTGCTAGCAAGTTGGTCCATTGCGCGCGACGACGCGTGGCGGTCGCACCGTACCATACGTGGTACGTGCATGTCTGCGACCCGGCTAATTTTGCACGAATCAGCCGGACTTACAATTTTCAGAGATGATGCCTACAGTGACATGCAGACGATAAATGCGTCGGTGTTCCTTATTCTCTCGTAAAGTTCGGAGTCATTCTTAGGTGACTAGGCAGGGGTCAAGGTATGAGCCATCCGTAGGTTTGGTACCTACGACGAGACGTGAAGGTGCGAGCTATTTGACAACACACATGTCGTTGTTGGACTGCTTTCCCTTGATTTTTTAAGCCTCATTAGCCCTGTCATTGGTATTTATGCAACGAGCATGCGTAGCTTATGCGAACATGCAGTGTGATTCTCAGGCTTTACAAGACGCCCTACGTTCTGCTATAGCTATAGACTAAAAAAATAAAGAATAAAAACAGGGCTGTTTGTTGCAGCGGAGAATAATGCAGGGTTCGCCAGAGAAAATGAATTGGGCTTACGTATAATCGTCAGTTATTTTAGTGTTCTGCTATTTCATGTGAATGTTTAGATGACTGTCTTAATCCGAAGATAGAGAGGCGAATGTAACGATTTGGCCTTGAGGAAATGAAATGACTGGGGCGTGATTGTCGCTTGATTGCCTTTTGACATAATATCATAAACAGTAAGTACTGATTCTAATTCCTCTTATTTTGAAACCTCAATATTGTTCGACGCTATGATGTTTTCTGCTTTGCCAACGAGGTTTTTTAGGTAGGAACTTTATTTCGGCCAACGTTTTTTGACCCTTTCCGTCATTCGTCAAGGCTTGCCTTTTCGTAGTCTAGAAGCCTTGCATCCACACTTCTTTGTTCTGTTATTAGAACTTACTACTATTCACGGAGCGTAGCATTTTTGAATGACAGTTGTGGTGAGACAAATTGCCTTTGAACGACGTTCGAAAGAGGTTCGAACGTTGGACGTAATAAAGATTTCCGTCTAAAAAAACCTGGTTGGCAAAACAGAAGAATGAAACAGTAAGTACTGGATCTGTGTTCAGCCATGCTGCGTTTTTAAAGGATAAAAAGGTATGAAGTCTTCGCCGTTAATCAGTCCCGTTGTGGGATGCGGCACGCATTCTACTTCCACTCAGAATCGTATCAGCTCATTGAATGCGAGTGGCCTATTGACTTGCGGGAGCCAGCCGATGTACAAAAGAGAGCTTTATCCTCCCAGATGGATCTGGTGGAAATTGCCGTACCCAGAGGGTAGAAAGCTTGGCTGACCTGGACGAGAGCCGATCCAGGTTTTGATCCCCGGATCTTCCGCGTGTCAAGTGTGCCACTTTCCACTAACCACCTTCGCCGCATTCATACTTTACGAATGTGGAGAATTCGCGAAGTTAGGCTACGTTCACACTTTGCGTCAGCGTCCACCAACGACCATTAGCGTTTCGTGCATACGCCAGCGACTAGTAAAGTATAGGTATCGATCTAGCGAACATCAGCGTTTGCCAGCGTACAGCAGCGTCCAGGAATGGAGAGTATGGGTAGTATGATTACAGCAGATAGCTGGAGGCGTCGTGAAATTGCGACGTGCACTACACCTCAAGTTTGCATCTGCGTGCTTTAGCAGTTGCACGGTGCGGTTGCACACGCCGCAACTTCACGTCGCCTAGTTCATCTGTCTGCTGTGCTACTTCCCGTACTCCCCACTCCTAGACGCTGGTGAATGCTGGCAAGCACTGTTGGTCGCTGGTGGACCCTGACGCAAAGTGTGAACTCAGTCTTAAGGAGTCGGAAAATGCGAGTCAGCAGATGGGAGCAATTAACTCGCACCGCAAGCGATTTGGAAAAGTGTGCGTTCTCGCAGCTCGCATACTTTGCCATTTTTCGAATTGCTGAGGGACAAGGTCTATCGCTTTGCATACAATCCTTTGGCGTACACTTTCCGAATCACGCGTACTATAATTGTTACAGATCGAGGCTTCTCCAGCTTATTACCTACGCCCTACTTTGCACTCCGCCTCCCCCCATTCGTAGATTTCCCACATACACAGAACATAAATGCGACCTTAAAAATGAGACGAACAAGTTTATTATTTTGGCGAACTTTGTGCTGATGTTAATC